GGCGGTCCCCGGCGGCGGGCTTGCGCGCGCGGTGCGAGGGCCGGCGCCGCAGCTCGGACGTGAGCTCGTGCTTGAGGAAGCGGAAGACCTCCTTGGCCGGCCCGCGGCGCTCGGGCTCGAGCGCCAGGAGCCGCTGGAACATGCGCAGCGCGGGCTCGGTGAAGCGGCGCCACTGCGACGGCAGCCCCGGCAGGCGGCCCCGCTGCCAGCGCACGAACTCCTCGAAGAAGGCGTCGGCGCCCGAGGCCGCCTCCCACGGGAAGTTGCCGGTGAGCACGCAGAAGATGAGCACGCCGAAGGCCCACACGTCCACGCCCGTGTCCACGGCGAAGCCGTCGGCGCGGCCCGCCTGGCACACCTCGGGCGCCGTGTAGGGGATGGTGCCGCTCACGCGCTTCACGCGGCAGCCCACGCGGCGCGTCATGCCGAAGTCGGCCAGCTTCACGCGGCGGCACTCGCGGTCGAACAGCAGCACGTTCTCGGGCTTGATGTCGCGGTGCACCAGCTGCCGCCCGTGCATGAAGTCCAGCGCCAGGCCCAGCTGCTGCACGCAGCGCTTCACCGTGTCCTCGGGGAGCCCCACCTGGCGGCGGGCGGGAGAGGGCGCTCAGGGCCTGCACTGCCCCGACTCGGCTCTGTCTCCTTCCGGGCCCCGTCCCGCTCGGACTCAACTTCCAGGGCTGCCCTGCCCCCACTCCGGCTGCTGCCGCTCTCGTCCCACCCGCGGCCTGGGCCCTGCCCCCGATCCGGGCGCCGGCTGCACGCCCCATCCCGCCTGCGCGTCTCCGGCTCCTCCTCTGGCTGGGCGGTTTCCACCCCCACCCTTTTCCCCAGTAACTGCAGCACCGACCAGTACTGAGCGCCCACCGTGGGCCAGGTGCTGTGTTAAGCGCCCTGTCCCGCACTGTCTCATCAACTCCTCACAGCGGCTCCTGTTAGCCCATTTCCCGTAGAGGGACGCTGAGGCTCTGAGAGGCCTTATCACTTATTGAGTAAGCGGCAGAGCAGATTCGAGCCTGGCACTGGAATCCTCCCGGCACCCTCCTCACTCCAGGGCACCTCCTCTGGGAAGCCTCTGATGGCCCTGCCGCCTCCCCTCTTCCGCCCCCACCCGTTCCTACGCAGCTGCAGAGGAGGTGCTGTTGGACTTCATCCCCTCACCCTGGCTGCTTCCTTCCCGGTGCTTATCTCAGTCTGTGACCTGGCTTCTTGCATGGCCGGTTCCCCCACTGGGGCGAGAGCAGGACCTGTCTTGTTTACTGTGTCCCCTCCAAACAGTGACTGGCATACAGTAGGTGCTCAGTAAATACTTGTTGATTAGATGAGTGACCTGACTCTCACACTCGGGGGCCCGGAAAACCATCTCCCCTCCCTCAGCCTCGGCCCCAAGTACCTGAGGAGGAATGATGTCAAACAGGTCCCCAGCGGGCGCGTACTCCTGCGCAAAAACGTAGCAGTCCTCGGTCTCAAACACCACGTCAAAGACCTTGATGATGAAGGGGCTGGAGGAGAGGCTGTTGGTGATGCTCACCTCCCGCAGGAAGTTCTTCAGCTTGGTTTTGCTCTTGTTCACAAACTTCAGCGCCATTTTCGTGCCTGATGGGGCAGCAGCAAGGGCGGTGAGGACCCCTCTGCCTGTGCTCCTGCACCTAACATGTACCCATGTCTGTCTGCACGGTCTGTCCTGGCCACAGGGCACAATGGGGCCCCAGTGGGCATGACTGTCCTCGTCTGACAGGTGGGAAACAGACCCAGCGCAGGGACAGAACTTGCCAAAGGCCATGCGGCAAGTCAGGGGTCCACCTGGGCCTTCTGCACCCAGCCTGTAGCCCTCGGTGAGAAGGGCCTGCTGCTTCCTCCACCCTCTCTGGTTTTCTTCCTGACACACTCTGCTTATTTCTCGTCTGTCTCCCCAGCTAGAACGCAGCTCCCGGAGGGCACAGTCCTTTGTCTTGCTCACTGCTGTATCTCCAGTGCCTACAACACAGTCCGGTGCACGGCAGGTGCCCAACAAATGTTTGTTAAATGGCTGAATGAATAAGACGGAACTAGACACTGGGAGGTGAAGGGCCTGCAAGGCGCACGTCCCCGACTCTGTGCGTGGTGCACAGCTGGGTGACTACAAATGTGTGTCTACAGAGCACTTACACGTCACAGCCCTGCCTGCAGCATTTCACATCCTCATAATGACCCCATCAGGTGGGCACTAATGCTACCCTATGTTACAGAGGAGGAAACCTAGGCACAGAGAGGTTAAATCACTTGCCCAAGGTCCCATAGCAAGTAGCAAAGCTCAGGTGACCCCTGTCCAGTGCTCCTTGTGCTGCCCTCAGTTGGCACAGAGCCCCCACCCCAGGTGTGAGCAGCTGTGGGCATTCTGGCAGCTCCTGTCCCTGACTGCTGAGTGGGCACTGCTGGGAGCCTACAGTGTGGGGACGGCATCAGGCTCAGGGGTTAAGCGAGAAGATTCTGGAGCTGAGGACTAAGGTCTCCTGCTAGCTCAAACCCTCTGTTGACCTTGCCTGAGTGAATCTCTCTTGGTCTCAGTGTCCTCCTCTAAGAAACGGAAAAGGCCATAGTGACCTCACAGGGTCATCTCCCACTCCTCTCTAAGCATGCTGCCCTGTTCCCCAGGACCCAGCCTCAGTTCTGTGCATCTCCCCAGGGTCAGCTATCACGTTGGGGATTCCCCCAGGGATTCCCCAAACACCACTGCCAGCCCTGACCTCTCCAGAGCTCCAGAGGTCCCAGGGTGCATCCCCTTGGCTGTCCCAAAGGCAGCCACCTTCCAGTCTGGGGCTCTGCCCAGATTCCTCCCTTGTCCCATCTGCCTACTCTCCTCCTCTGGGCCGCTTCAGGCTGTATCCTCTCCACCTGGACCATTGACTCGACCTCCCTGCTGGCCTCCTGGCCCCGGCAGAGAGCACCTGAGAGCCCCAGCCAAGTCCCCGCCCAGCCTTCACACCGGCCACCCTGCAGACACTCACCTGTGCCCTTGTAGGCCACCAGGTCGACCTTCCCGTAGGTGCCCTTGCCCAGCTCCCGGACAAGTTCGTAGTGCTTGGTGACGTCGCTGGCAGCCAGCGTGCGGAGGGTCAGCGCCTGCATGTCTTCGGTGAGGAGGGGCACGCCTGCACCCAGTCCAGAGGTGGCCCCTGGCCCACAGCAGGGCAGGGAGTGGGGCGGGTCGGGCTCTGGGCAGCCCACGCTCATCTTCTCCCTGTGGGGGGTATGGCACAGAGTGTGAGACTTCAGGCCAGGGCTCCCTCCTCCCTCCCAGTGCCCAGGATCCCTGAGCTGGGCCCAGACGCCAGCCCCAAGATGACCACGAGGGGGCGACAAGCATCTTTGCCGCATCGCCTTTCCCCCAAACTTCAGGGCCAGGCCTGAGCAAGTGCTCCCTGGAGATAGTCACTGCCCCCTGCCCCCCAATTAAGTACCACCGGCCTGCCTCATGCCATCATCCAGACACAGCGTCAGGCATGATACAGACACAAAAACACGCCATATACCAAGTGTGCGCATTTACCAGCTGTTTGCCAGGTGCTGTTCAGAGCCCTGGAGACACAGCACTGAACAAACGGACAAGATTATCCCCCTCATGAGACTTACGTTCTAGAGAGGAGACAGACCATGAGCACAGTGGACGCGTGAATTATATGCTGTGATAAAGGTGATATGGGCTGTAGAGAAAATAAGGCAGGGATGGGGGGGCTCTGAGGCAGGGGTCACAGTATCAGATACCTCAGCCCCGGGGTCTTAGACAACAGCAGGACAGTGCAGATACGGCCACACACCCACCCCAGCCTTCCCTACCACAGCTGCTCAGGCACACACAGCTACAGCTGTGCTCCCAGGGCCCGCCCGGCACCCCCAGACACCAGGATAGAGCATTTGTCCCACAAAGACCCAGCCCTCCCCCGCCCCACCCTCCACATTCACAGCCTGACCCACACCTGCAGGTTCCACACAAGCTGGGGTGGGCTTCCTGGATACACCCACCCCTCAGGGGTACTGAGTTTGTCTCCAGATGGTGTTGGGGGTGCGGGAGCTGTAGCAGGGAGAGCCAGGCCTGGGTGACAGTGAGCGCCCATCTGGGGCCTGCTTTTGTCTGTCTGACAGGGGGGAGGGTTGGCCGGGGAGCGAGCCTCCAGGAGCAGGTGCCCATGTGTATACGTCCGTGCACGCACTGCAGAGGCCTCCGTGAGCTGCCTCCGGCCGGGGAAGCCTACCTCCTGTGCACCTCCTCAGCCCTCCGCTCGCTCCCTTATACCTCCAGCCCCAGGTGTACCAGCCAGCATGCAGCATCCCCAGCCTGCCCCTCCGCCCCCACCCCGCCAGACAACCACGGCTCTCCGGGAGAAGCACAGACTTGGAGCCAGATGGCCTGGGTCTGATTTCTAGCACTACGACTTCCTAGCTGGATGTCCTTGGGCAAGTTACTTCATGGCTTTGTGCCTCAGTTTCCCCACCTATAGAAAGGATATAATGTAATAGTACCTTCTCCCTACGGCTGTTGTGAGGATGAAGTGAGTTCATAGGTGTGAAGTGCTCGGTGCCTGGCACGCAGTAACTAGCGCTCTCTCAGGGTCAGGTGGGATGTGTTCTCCCTGGCACCATCCGCATTCTCTCTTGTGAGCATGGCTGGAGGCTGGGGGCAGGGGTGAGCTCCCATGAGCCCCGCCCCTCTCCCCGGGGCAGCCGCTCCCCTTCCAGGCCCAAACTCTCTTCTGCCTCTGCCTTCCCCTTCCCTCTCGGCACGACCCAGCCTCCCACTTCACAGGGAGAGGAGGAACATCAGGAGGGAACTTCCTGGCCTCCCACCCGGCCCCACACGGAGCTCCATCTGCACGTCCGCCCAGCTGGCTGGGGGAGCTGAGCGCCTCCTCCCCTCCTCAGCTGTGGCTCCGCCCCTTCTGCTTCCTCAAGATCCGGCTCCCCATTCAGCTCCCTTTCCCTCCATTCATGAACAAGCCTGATTCTGAGAGGACCTTGCCCCACAAGCTACTGCCTCTCTTCCCCTAGTGTGTTCAGTCTGAATGTGTGCCAGGACTCATCTGGAATGCCCCATGCATGCCCTCAGAGAATCTAGTCTGTAGCTTGGACCAGCCCATTTCACAGACCCCGAGGGAGGCATGGGGCCAGGCCCACAGAGAACCGTGCTGCTTCCCCTCCCTTTGCCACCCTCAGTGTTGAACCCAGCCCTGCCGTGGCACCTGTCGTCAAGTCTCTATGTAGTCCTAGCTCCGGGCCGGACAGCACTGGGCCCCTCTTGCTGCAGCCACCAACTGGGCTACAGTGGGTGACATCTCCCCACAGCAGTCTTTCCCTGGTTTCAGGGCTGGGAGGGGTCACCTCCCCCAGCCTCTGTCAGAGGGTCCCAAGGGAGAGAGCCAGGCCGGCGATCCACTTTGATGCAGCAGGGGAGGTGAGGCGGCCTCGGGCCCTTCTGTGGAGGCTGGGGCCATCCCCGAGGGATATGATGGGCACACACTCTCTTTGCCTTGAACTCTTCCCCTGCCTGCCAGGGAGAGACGCTGGGCTGCTCTGCTGACCTACTTCTCCTGATGTGTGTGGACTCCCCGAAGGCTGCTGCGGTGGGCAAGCCACGTGTGTGCAGGCACATGTGTATACACGTGTGTAATGCTCCCACTTCGGGCTTTGGCCCTGCAAGGTCACTTCAGGCTGTTTCTGCGTCCCCTGGAAGCTTGACTGGCAGCAGCAAGTTGCTAGAAGCCCTTCTTCCCTCCCTCCTCTCCTCCCTCCCCCAGGGACTGTTGGGTGCCTGGCTTGTCCCTGCTGCTCTGGCCTCAGAGTTGCCCTGGGCTGGGTCAGGGGCACAGCCACAGTGGGGGTGGGTTTGAGCCCTACATTTGCCCCCTCACCTCCAGCTTCAGCCCGTGCTCTGACCACTGCCCTGCACTGCCTCTCCACAGCTTTAACACCCCTCTCCAGTCTCCTCCACCATCTTGCTGCCTGCCTTCACCTCCCCATGCCCCATACCCCATCTCCTCAGGGTCCACTCCTCCAGGAAGCCTTCCCTGCTGTCCCAGGTGCCAATTCCTGTCTCTGGGGGGCCCCAGGATTCAAACAAGGTCTGTCTGTCTCTCTTTTAGGGCCCCTGTTGAATATCTTGTGGTGGTCTCAGCTGTGTCCCTGTCTGTCCCCATCCACAGGCCAAGAGCTTCCCGGGGTTGGGGCTACATCAGGTTCCACTCTCCTTCATCCCTTCCCTTGGTTCCTAGGGTCCAGTTTTGGGGGTCCTCCCTATCGCCCCCTCCCTCCTTCCCAACCTTCCTCTACTTGCAGGCCTCTTCTCTGCCAGGAGTCAGCAGGAGACAAGGAATTAATCTGCACGCCCGTCCCCGCTGCTGTGTCATCCCCCAGGTACACAGCGCCTCTGACCCAGTTACAATGCATGTGACTTAAGAGGCGCAGTGGGGAGTGACAGAAACGGCACAGGCCTTGGGGCTCAGTAGGCTTGGCCTGGATCCTAACGCTTGCCACTTTTTAGCTGGGTGACCTTGAGCAAGTCATGTCACTTCTCTGGGCCTCAGCCTCCACATCCGTACGATGAAGAAAATAATAATAGTGAAAATAACAACAGCAGCAGCAGCGGCAGCAGCTAACACTTAAATCGTCCTTACCACGTGCCAGGCCCATTCTAAGGGCGAAGCGGCTCACCCTCGCGACTCTCTGGGGTGGCATGATTGTGATCCCTGCTTTAGGGGTAAGGAGAGGGAGGCGAGGACTCGATAACTCGCAGAGGTCATACAGCTAGGGCTGGGACTGGCTCCGAAGCTACGCTCTTAACCACAGTGTTTTCCGGAGTCAGAATGTTGGAACATCTCATCCAGATCCCTCAGTACCCAAGAGGGGAAACCGAGGCCCAGAAGAGGGCAGAGCCTCAGCCAAGGATGCACACGCATTCATCCAGCTCGTGTGGAGAGCTGACTGGGTCCAGGCACGGGTCCGGGTGCTGCACATGTAGAACTCACTGACTCCTCCATGCGGTAGGTACACCAGCTTTTTTCAGGTGGGGCTCGAGCCCAGAGTGCAGTCAGACCCATCTGACCCACCGAGTGTTGAAGGCATTTATGTCTGGCATCAGTGGGAACTTGATCATTATCGTCACCGCCTCCACTTGAAGGAGCAGCTGTGGACTTGATGGCTGTGAGCTTCCCAGCACCAGGCGGGGGGCCCCTGGCTGACCTCCGTTCGCCCCGCGCAGCCGCACGGCATTGGTCCACACTCAGGCTGACTACACTGCCCCAGGGGACTCACATTACTTGCACCTCAGGTGTGTGTCCTCACTGGCCCCGAGGGAGGCCCTCGATTTCCTGTCTGTGCTGCTGAAGGCAGGAGGGTGTCACCCAGTCTTCACGGCAGCACTCGTGGCTCTGACCCTGTGGGCTGGGTCTTCCGCCTCATGCTGGGAGGCCCACTGTGGTGGGGGCAGGATTTCCCAAGCAAGAAGCAAGACTGAACCGCCCACCACTTCCTGTTGGCAGGTGGCTTGAGTGGGTTCCACCCTTATGAAAACTACCCGATCCCCCCCCCCGCCCAACACACACAGTGCCAGCTTGGCAAAATTTCACTCACTGAGTCCTCACAAGTACCCTGAGAAGTGGGCAATATGCTTCCTATTTTTTAAGACAGCTGAACTGAGGTATAATTTACATACCACAAAATTCACCCACAGTAAGTATATAATTCAATGATTTTAGTAACTGTGTAGAGCTGTACAACCAGTGCCACATCGAACGAAGCTGTCTGTTTTACAGATGAAGGACAGAGGCCCGAGAGGTGGATGTTTACTGCGGTTGTGGCAGAGAGAGCCAACTGCCCACCAAAACTTTGCATTTCCTCCGCTATGGTACAGAGCCGTTGCTGGAGGGCCGCTGTCAGCAAGGACTTTCTTGCCTCCCTTGCACCCAGGTGTGGCCGTGCGACCGGTTCCCCAGTGGAATGTGAGCAGAAATGAGGTGTTGCTGCTAGGCGGGGGCTTTTCAGAATGGGGCAAGGGCTGGCCCCGTGGCTTAGCGGTTAAGTGCGTGCACTCCACTACTGGTGGACCGGGGTTCTGATCCCGGGTGCGTACCGACGCACCACTTCTCCGGCCATGCTGAGGCTGCGTCCCACATACAGCAACTAGAAGGATGTGCAGCTATGACATACAACTGTCTACTGGGGCTTTGGGAAGAAAAAGGGGAAAAAAGG